ATATATATATATATATATTCGCTGTTTTCGCTGGCCTCCGCCAATGTCATATTTTTTCACAACTCTAATCCAAATATGGGGATGTTATTTGTACAAATTAACCAGTCTAAAGTGTTGAAAATGGCTCGGCACATCATGTTAATGGAAAACTATTTCTGTGCTCGATGTGTTGTTTTGCCAAGTCGGATAGTGCATAAAATTGACGTTACAGTGGTATTCGTAATGCTTACTTAGAACTGAAGTACATAACAGAGTTGGCACTTTTTTACTCTGACTTAATAATAATAATAATAATAATAATAATAATACATTTCATTTATAAGCGCCTTTCAAGACACTACTTAAGTACTTGAATTAAATCAGAAGGCCCACTTTTACCAGAGTTTATCTATTAACACAGTCATCGGTCCTTCTTAAGTGCGAGTTTTGATCATCATTTGGCTATGGTTCTCATCTTTGCGCCACAGAGTCCTGACGGGCTTGTGCGAGCCTTCCTTTTTCCGTCCCTTTCAGCCGGAGTCCTCCCCACTGTTTTCCACTGCCCCCTTGGGGGTCTCATCCGGACCCTCCCCAGTGCCGCTGTCCGACTCCTCCTCCTCGATGGCCAAGCGCGTGTCCGCGGAGGAGCACAGGGAGCTGATGCTGCTTTGCTCCGTGCAGAGCGCGCACGCGAGAGGGGATGGCAGCGCGGTCTCGTGGCGTAGATGTCCGAACGGGTTGCCGTGGTTACCGGAGAACGGCAAAGCCAGGTTCAACGAGCGCGCTCCCGTGGCGGCCTCCCCGGCGAAGGAGAGGCTGTGCTTCTTGGGGAGCGCGCCCCACCCCCGCTTTTCCTCATCGTGCACGAGGCGCGTGAAAATGTTGGTCCTCCTCTTCTCCTTCCTCTTGGAGTGGAAGTAACCCAGCATGATGCCGCAGAGGAAGACTCCGTAGAAAGAGATGACGATTAAAATGTACAAGTAGGCGTTTCCGCTGCTTTGCGCCGCCTGCGCGCGAAGAAGAGAGTGTGTGGAAGACTGGGTAGAGTTCTGCAGATCCTCCATCTTTTCACAGAAGCCTTAGTTGGTCAACTAAAGAGAAAAATAAATCCATTTGAATATAGGCATTTTTGTCCCCCAAATATGCACGAGTAAAGAAAAACAAAAACAGCACAATAGGCATTCCAGTAAGATAACCAGGTATGCACGTTCTGCTGAATCTCAACGAATCTAATATTGCAGAAAAGTACCAAGAATTAAATACAGCAAAAAAGTGAAATATCTTTTACAGGCTCATTAAAACACACAAATTAGGCTACTTTGGGGAAAGACAATTCCTTTTACTAATTTGATGTTCGCAGATGGTTTCTTGTAAGATAAATTTTGAGTTTTCGCTTGCCGCAGTGCGTGCGTGTGTGTACGAGGAGTCACGCACACAACCTGTATACTTATATCTGTAGTAAATATGAAGTGCATAAAGCAAAAGAGCACCATCTGCTGGATCACGCGTAGGTCTTAGCCATCTATTGAGGACATCTCTCTCGCTCCCACGAAAGCACGCACGTCATGTGATATGTGTTATTATTAAGCAACGCCAGGTTCCACGAGCTCGCTCCCGTGGCGGCCTCCCCGGCGAAGGAGAGGCTGTGCTTCTTGGGGAGCGCGCCCCACCCCCGCTTTTCCTCATCGTGCACGAGGCGCGTGAAAATGTTGGTCCTCCTCTTCTCCTTCCTCTTGGAGTGGAAGTAACCCAGCATGATGCCGCAGAGGAAGACTCCGTAGAAAGAGATGACGATTAAAATGTACAAGTAGGCGTTTCCGCTGCTTTGCGCCGCCTGCGCGCGAAGAAGAGAGTGTGTGGAAGACTGGGTAGAGTTCTGCAGATCCTCCATCTTTTCACAGAAGCCTTAGTTGGTCAACTAAAGAGAAAAATAAATCCATTTGAATATAGGCATTTTTGTCCCCCAAATATGCACGAGTAAAGAAAAACAAAAACAGCACAATAGGCATTCCAGTAAGATAACCAGGTATGCACGTTCTGCTGAATCTCAACGAATCTAATATTGCAGAAAAGTACCAAGAATTAAATACAGCAAAAAAGTGAAATATCTTTTACAGGCTCATTAAAACACACAAATTAGGCTACTTTGGGGAAAGACAATTCCTTTTACTAATTTGATGTTCGCAGATGGTTTCTTGTAAGATAAATTTTGAGTTTTCGCTTGCCGCAGTGCGTGCGTGTGTGTACGAGGAGTCACGCACACAACCTGTATACTTATATCTGTAGTAAATATGAAGTGCATAAAGCAAAAGAGCACCATCTGCTGGATCACGCGTAGGTCTTAGCCATCTATTGAGGACATCTCTCTCGCTCCCACGAAAGCACGCACGTCATGTGATATGTGTTATTATTAACACTACCTTATTTATTTTGAACACAGCTTCCAGTTTAATTTGCTCATTAGGAAGACTATTTAGGGGGAGGAAACTGGTCTTTATGAGTCAATAGGAGATTAAAGATTTGTTTTTCATGTGATCCAATATTATGGATCTTTAAACACATTGAAAAGATGAATTGTTAACTCACCAAAACGAGGGGTCAAATTTCCTGGGCCTCGAACGACCAGCGTGTAACTTCTTGGAGCTCTTCTGGAGTTTGGCAGATGTTCTCCAAGGATTAAATTATTTATACAATCGTTCCCCCACCCCCAGCCCCACCACCACTCTGACTGTGAGTCACGTGGAGGGGGTTGACTGTGTGACAAGATTTGTGTGTGTGCCTGTGGAAAGCTTAACAAAACACAGAATGTCGTCTAACTTAGACAGCTGTTGCGATAGAAAACATCCACCATCCACAACTTTCCGAGATATTTTCAGAATTTTCGTCACGCTATTTGGCTGCCCAAGGAACAGGTCTCAATACGATGTCATGCAGTAAATGCATCCTTAGCCGTACAGCCCTTCACTTTATGAAGACAGAATTTTTGGTGTGTAACCTAAATCTTTGATTCTACCAATTTTGACAGTCATGTGAGCAAGCACATACAATGTATTGTAATATACATATGAGTTGTCAATAATGACAAATTTAGTAGATTTTAGATTTCAATAGTTTTCTCCATTTATAAAAAAAAAATACAAATTTTAAATGACATTTTATATTAACATTTGTTTGATGATTTGAAAACACTAATTGGGAACCATTGCAAAAAGTGAGACTTCATGGAGAGTGCCCTTTTTTCAAATTACAAATACTGTACAAATAAATCTTTTTTCATGGCATTGTGTATTCTTTTTGAACTATGGGAGGAAGTCAGCGTAACAGCCCGGATTCATCAAAAAGCAAGCTATTATTCTTTAGTGACTTTTTGTTCATTCACACGATGAGAAAAAAAAAAAGCTGTATTTCTACTTTGAAGGCTCTCATGCAGGGATGGGCAATTTAAGAGATGGTAGCGGTCCAGGCCACAATTTTTCATCAGCGCTATGGGGTTGCCACAAATGGTACAGTACATGTATAAAAGTTGCAGCCTTCAACAACAATGGGTTTGAACAATCCAACCCCTCCCCCCCCCAAAAAAAACATACTATTTTTTTTTCCCAGTGGAAAAGTGGCTGTCCTGCATAAAAAAACTTTACCATACGCCAACATTAAGTGAAATAACTAATTTTGTGCATTTTCTTTTCACAAAAATCAACTCCCAATATTTTAATATTACTCAGGCACAAGGTTTGTCCTGGGTGTCATACCAAATTCCCAAATTAGGCCAACTCATGTTATAGCAGGACAGGACAGAAAAAGACCCAGAGTCAGCTCAACCAAGCGATGTCTGCCATCTGGTGGTGAATGGTGATATGACAACTTAAAAACGACAGTGGAACCCAGCTAATCGCGGGGGGATAGCGACTAGGGCCGGTCCATAAACAGCGAAAGTCCGCATATAAAATTGATGTCTGATGGAATGCATTAAAAAAAAAAAAAATCGATATGCCTTCAGTGTGTGCTTTCCACAAAAAAAAACAAAACAAATCAAAAACAAGTGCTGCTCCTCCAAGACACACAAGCACACACACAAGACACAAATTAATATATATGAATCCATGGTTGCTGCACCACGGTTGCTGCATCACACACACACACACACACACACACACACACACACAAATATTGGCAGAAGATTAATGGAGAGGCCACTCGGTGTGGGCACTGACCACATGCAGTAGCAATTTCCTGCTTAAGTGGCTCCTGAGTAGAAATCAGTATTCTGTACACTGTAAATTCAATTTCAATTTGTTCATCTTCCAAATACTTTCCACCAAGCTGAAAAAGTCCAGTGACAAAAACAACCACATTCTCATAATCTTAGTAGTCTGGAGCACTTTACCGAGAAAAGAAATTTATTTCCTTTTGATTTTTACAAAGAAAAAAGGAACTCATAAAGTAAATACAGATCATTGTTGCGAGCGACGTCTCCATTTATAATGGCACATCGTGATATTGAGAGATTGTAATTTTAACTGACATTTCATTTCACCCTCAAGCACATCTTCAAAGAAAGAAAACCCCACCAAAGGTTATAAAAACGTTATCCTGGTCCCTACATGTAGTGGTTAAAGCCAAGTCTCAGAATTCTCAGACTGTCTATAGCTTAGATACACTGGAGTCATTTTTGTCTTAAAAAAAAGAAAAGGCCATGCCTTGAAAGTCACGTGAGCAAAAGTGTTCCTTCCTTGTGACATTTTCTGTAATCAAATGTCTTTCTTGGCTCGGAATAAGACATTTTCGTGTTAGCACTGTTCATCAAAATGACACTGATTACAGACCACTGGAAGATACATAAATAAATGACTTTCTGAGTGTGTGATCAGAACACTGAAAAGTACGCTCCGTTTTGGTACAATAGCAGAGCAGACTAAACAGCCCATTCTGTTTCCTACTTTGAAATAATCTCAAAGCAGTGTACTTCATACACATTCCTAACAATGTGCTATTAAAACAGTTTAGTAAATGCTCACAATTTTAACGTGCAATTATTCAGTGCCTTTGGAATCAATGTGCTAAACATGCTCGACGATAACACCGTCATCGAATTTTAACATTTTAGATCAATATTCAGGCCAAAAGACCGAAGCGTCTCCTGACCTGCAGGACAGACAAAAATTAAAAATAATGGAGAGATTTCAAAAAGGATGAATCTACAATTCGGTGACAAAAATAAAAGCGTGCAATCAAATGCAATGGAAATCTGCTTGCTGTGGAACTCAAAACGAGTTCACCAGACAGCAACGTTTTAACACAGCGCAGCCTTGTTTCATAAGTCCCAACTGAAACAATAAAACACTTGACACCAAGGTCGTACACATGGACAAGAAAGGAAAAGGCAGCAGCAGACAAATCGTTCACACTTTCTGGAAACTTCATGTCTGCAGGTAGTATGTAATCATTCTGCTTAAATTCAGCTTCAAATTCAAGTAGGAGCAACCGCAGTGGGGCCTGGTAAGAGTCCAAAGGTAAAACACAACCCATGTATTTTGCAACTTTGCATATTTCTGCTTTGCGCATGGACTGTCGTGGTCGATGACATCATTCCCCATCGTACATCCTTGCAATCTCATTTCGGTAATGCATTTCCAGCTCCCTTCGCTTGAGCTTGAATGCATCAGTCACGAGTCCCTTATCAGAGGTCCACGGGTCTGGACTCAGGTGGATCTTGCGAGGAATCTCAAAGCTCACGAGTTGAGCTGAATGAAGACGTAGACATATATTAGCAGAACACACCTGAGGAGGAAAAAGAGCGTTTCTGGTTCATGAGTCTTCCTACCTGCCACAGCGGCCTCTGTGATGACCTTGAGCACCAGTTCTTCCATCACCTGGTCCTTGCAAAGTTCCTCCAGTGTGCCGCTGACGCCATATTGGTCAGCTAGCGCTTGCAGGTGCTTCTGGTTGGGCACCACGAAGGCAATCACGTATGTCTTATCACTGTAGGAGAAGAAGAAGTCAAAGAAAGACAAATAACAGTCCATTTAAATACAATACATCTTTATTTATTTAATCATACAGCGCTTCCACAACAGCTGCAGCTATAACAAAGCACTTTCCAAAATATAATAAATTCACACAATCACTTTACAGACACAGAGACATATTTTCAATGCAAAATGATCCCATAGCGCCCAACCAAACAAAACTGTCACCAAAAAGTGCTTGTATTCGAATTACCATCCTGTGAAAAGAGTACTGTATTTGCAATTGCATTTTGCCTGTCATTAGACGTCACTGGCATAGAGAGAAGAAAAAAAGTATACTATTGGTAGTTAATAAAATCGTCATCGACCAAATTAGGAGAATTGGAGATAGGTGGCATGCAAGGATAAGCAGATCGGATGTTGGATGGATGGAAGACTTCCCACGTCACACTTGATGATCTTGCACGGCATACTTGGGACTGTTCCGATACTGCTGATACGCTTTACACCACAGGTATCAAACTCAAGGCCCAGGGGCCAGAACTGGCCCCCCCACATCATTTTATGTGGCCCGCGAAATCATATCAAACATGTCAACTTCGACGATGATTGCTAAAATCTGTACCAAAATGTCCATTTCTCATTTGTAATAAATCAGAGGGATACTGTAAGCATTTTCTTGTCACCAAACCCCTCATTACAGTTACTTAAACAGTAATTGAATGAAACGTTATTCTTGACTTATTTATAAAATTATACAGTTTCAGTCATCGCGGCCCTCCACTAATTATAATGCGTCTCGCGACAAAAATGACTGACACCCCTGCTTTACATGGTCGCAGGTAACAGGAGCCTTGCCCAACTAACTTCGGGGAAAGAAGCTAGATACACCCTGGACTGGTCACCAGTCAATCCTGTGGCACTTACAGTCTCCTCCAAAAGTAACAACAAAAGCAAGGTCTTTGCTGTTGTTGTATACTAACGACATTTGGGTTTTAGATCAAAAGATGAATATGGGACAAAAGTTCGGAATTCCCACTTTCATTTCGTGGCATTCAGATCTAGGTGTGTTTAACAATTTAACAGAGCACTTTTTGGTGGAAGAAACGCCATTTTCAAGTGAGCAAAGTTGTCCCTCGTTGTCGAAATCCCGGTGACACATAAACGACTGAATACCAGAAAAGCATGACTCAATATCTTTGAATGTGTGCTTCTTGCGCAGCAGCCAACATATGCTGTGTGTCGGTGTACAAACGATGCACCACAGCTCACCTTTTAGCATAGGCACAGATGTTGTCAACAAGAGGACAATTCTTCAACGTAGCTTCCACTTTTCCTAAAGGGACGTACTCCCCTATCTGCAGCTTCACGAGGTCTTTCTTACGATCTGGAATTAGAAGACGTATTGTATCATTCCATGTGCAAGGACGCTGGCGTGCATAACTCCGCTTTGTGACATGCGGAAAACGCCCATTATCACTCTATTAGTCCTTATCAAATCCTTTTTCGATTTGCGACCAATTCTGGAACCAACAGACTTTGACAAGTACTGTCTAAAGGGGAGCTTTGAGTCTACTGTGCACTATTTTGTGCCCGCTAAATCCAGAGTCCTTTGGTTACGGATCCGTTAAATCAAGCTTCCACTGTACATACAGTAGATGACAAATGAAATCAGTCCCCTCGAGTCTGTTAAAGGTGAGATATATCATGTAAATCTTATTCCAACCAGCAGTAGTATGTACTATTGCATTATTATTACGAGGCAAGTTTGTCTGATTTGACACTCTGGATTTCAATAAAAAAATGAAGGAAAATGACTCATTGACCACTGAGGTCAACTTGAAAAAAAAATCGAGTTCGCCTTTTACGTTCCGTTCATCTCACCAATGATCTTGAGGCATCCGTCTTCATGAAACTCTCCAATGTCTCCAGTGCAGAACCATCGCTGGCCGCTCTCATCCACAAAGAAATCACTTTGGTCGCCCCTGTTCTTATAATAACCCATCGTTACGTTGGGTCCTCCGATGAGAATCTCTCCTCGTGGGTATGGCTTGTCAATGTTAAGGTAGCCCCCTGAGATCACAATATCGATATTAATAAAAATTGTGAATGAAATAAACAACAACAACAACAAATTATTTTAATTTCTGGTATCAATACTAAGCAAGACTATTATGATACCTTCCATAAAATGTGTTGCATTTTCCACAGAAATGAGAAGAATAAGGTTCAAGG